TGGCAGACAATAGAACAAACACATAAGCCACCGACCGTCCGCTGACTGTTACCGTTACATCACTCCCCCTAACACAATATGTGTTGTCCTCAACACCGGCACCGCCTTCGACTGCGACTTCCACCTGCTCCACTGCGGCTGGTACATCCTCGGTCCCCGTGCTGACAGGTTCACCTACCGTGGCCTCACCTATCGTAGCTGGTTTGAGCCGGTTGTAATGTACCGTCATAGGTCTTGTCGTTCNTCGTCCATCCGTTCGAACTATGCGGCAGGTGGAGTCCGACCACACTTCTAACACCGTATATGGTCCCTTCCAGCTCTTATGTAACTTTGTCGGCCTCCCAGGGGGTGGAATGGGGTTGTGCAGGAACACCAACTGTCTGGGTTGTACAGGTTTTCCAACCAGGTTCTTGTCGTAGTGTTCTTCCTGGTGCCTGTGTGCACTTTTCAAACATTTCCGCGCCAGTTGGTGTACTCGGTGTAGTCGCTGTTTTATTGTCCTTGCATACTCGGTGGATAAGAGGGTGTCTGGTGCGAGGAACGGCGTGCAAACATTGGATGGTAGTCGTATGTCACGCCCGGTAACCATCGCTTGTGGTGTCTGTCTGATCGACGAGTGACTCGCAGCTCGATAGGCTAACAGACACGAAGTGAGGGCCAAAACCCAGTCCCGCGTGGAACACTCGTTGGTAAATGCTTGAGTAAACCTTTAGGAGACCGATTGGTTAGTTCAGTTTGCCCATTTCCTTGTGGGTGGTAGGCCGTGGTGTTCGTCTTTCGGATGCCACAGACTTGACATAATTCTGCCACTACCTCGTTCTCGAAACTAGACCCCCGATCTGAATGCAACTGAATGGGTGCGCCCCAGCGTGAGATCCAATTTTCAAATATTGCACGTGCAACATCGACCGCAGCTATAGATGGCAAGGGTACTGCCTCTACCCACTTGGTAAAGCAATCGACCAAAACGAGAATGTACCTATTCCCGCGTTCTGTCCCTGGCAGTGGTCCGATTATATCCATACCTATCATCTGGTTGGGGTATCCGGTCAGCATCCGTTGCAGGGGTGCTCGGTGGTACTGTGTTGGTGGTTTGCTTCGGATGCATTTGACACACCTATTGCAGAAATTGACGATATCTCGTCGTTGTTGGGGCCACCAATACCAACTCGACACAACGTGGTCCATTTTGTGTTGCCCAGGGTGACCTAGTTCCTCGTGCAGTTTCTGCAGAACTTCAGCAACCTTACTCTGGGTATCACTATTTTCGGTTCAAAGTGTTCCCCATACTTATGATACAATATGCCATCCGTGATTTGTAGTCGCGGCCACGCGGGCCACAGACAGTGGCTTTCCCAGCTGCTATGAGCCATTTCGCCCTTTGTTGGTTTGTCTGCCCCAGCCTGGATTCGTGCATAGAGCAGCCTGGTC